ACCACTACCCTTTACCACATTATCATAATCCTTTCTCACATTTTCCTTAGTAGATGGCATAGGTGGGTCAATGGTTTTCTTACCAGCCGGAGTAGTGATTGCCATACAGTGCGCATCATTCTTTGGATTTTGCACAGTGTTGCTAGGAAGAGTGCCCGGTTGCCGTGTGTTCACTATCGCAGATAATTAGGCCATTTGCAACTCGATCTTCTTAATCGAAATTGCATGTGTATCAACTTTTTGCCCAATACTACCTAAATCACACCTCAACTCTTTAATGTGCTCATTACTAGCATCGAACCTCCTCATCATTTTGTGCAACATATCCTCAACTGGCGCCATACTATCTCCACCATCCCTAGGAGTAACTTCACGATTTTGAGGAGGGACATAGGGCACATTCCTGTCGTTTCTATTAGCATAGTTACCCTTGTTAAAGTTGTTGTCGCGGTTGTAGTTTCCATCTCGGGCATAATGACCCTCACGGTTGTAGTTACCATAGTTCCGACCTTGGTTCCCTTGACCTTGGAGCCAGTTATCCTGATTTGAGCCTTGGGCGCTTGGTCGGAAACCCGCCATCTGCTCATTTACTGCATAAGTGTCCTCCGCATAATAGCACTCATCATTAGGAGGTGGTGGTTTAGCCAAGTAGTTAACAACTTTTATCTTTTCTACACCCCCTGTGACATGTTTTAGTACCAATCCAAGCTCAGTTCTCATCTGAGCCATTTCTTCACGAATCTCATCTATGGCTGGGTTGTGAGTGGACTGTACTGCGAAGGTGTTTCTCCCTGTATCAGACTTCCCAATACTCCAAGCTTTGTTATTCCGGGAGATTTTCTCTAATTTTTCAGCAATCTCAGCATAAGGACACTCTCCATAAGATCCACCTGCTATAGTGTCCAACACCGCTTTATTGTTATCATCATGTCCCCGATAGAAGTATTCCTTCAGTGAATCATCATCTATACGGTGATTTGGAACACTTCTCAAGAATGAGGTGAATCTATCCCAAGAACTACTAACTGACTCTCCTGGTAGTGCCACAAAGTTGTTCACTTTGTCTTTGTGGTTTAGTTTCTTGGAGACCGGATAGTAGCGTGCTAAGAAAACATCTCTTAATTGGTTCCAAGTGAATATTGAGTTGTATGGGAGCTCAGGGAACCATATAGCAGCCTCTCCCGTTAGTGAGAGAGGAAACACTCTGAGCCCTATTACATCTAGATCCAAATCAGGCCTCCCCACACAACTTTTACACATTGTCCTTACCTTAGCTATATGGGCATGAGGATCCTCAGAAGGTAGCCCTGAAAACAAACCTCTGGCAGTGAGCATTTGCATCAGGCTACCAGTTAACATAAAGGTTTGGCCTGTGGGTAGAGGGGGCAAGACAAGTGGCCCATCCGAGTCTGCTATGTTATCATCCCTCTGTAGTATGCTTGGGGACGTGGAACGGGATTTTGTCCCCTCTGTTGATGTTCACCCGGACCATCGGGTAACATCTGACCATGAACATCAACCGAAGCTGGGATGTTCTGGTTTGGATCCTCATCATTTATTCCCAAGTTTCGATTCATATTGAGCAGTGTACGCTCTTACTCGTGATCGTAGGGAAACAAGGGTTCTCTTTCTCTCCACGTATTTGGCATACAAGGAGGATAGTTCTGAAAAGAAATAAAAAACAATAAAACAAAGTAAAATCAAGAAAATATCAACTAAACTATAGTAATAAGTTCAAGTTAATCTAAAAGCTAGATTCCCCGGCAACGGCGCCAAAATTTGACACGCTCAAACTTACTTCTCAAATAAGAAGTAAAGCGGTCGTGTCAAGTAAATAACCCAACTAGTGAGGTTGGGATCGTTCCCATGAGGAAAATAGTCTAGACTTAACTTCAACATGTTATTACTATTGTTTGGTCAATGACTTCCTTGGAAAGTAAAAACAATAAAGGGGGGTTTCTATTTCTAAATGAGTAAAATTAATTAACAAACTAGCCTATTAGATAGTATACACTAAATCTATGTTAATAATTATTTTCCTATTATCTACCTCCTTGATCCGGAAAGTAGCATTAAGGCGAATTCTAACGTTGGCCATCCCTTAAAAAGACTTCTAAGCGAAAGAATTATTAATACATGCAAGACACTATTCTAGAATTATTATTTTAGTTAGGGTTTATCTCATTATTTGCCTATGGTTCCCACAACTCTAGTTATGGAGTTTAGTTACTCATGGACATAAACACAATATTTAAATATATTAAATAAGAGTTTATGTACTTACTTCAATGAGAAAGAGTAAAATCCAAAAGTTTGCTTGATTAATCACCAATATTCCCTTTCAAGAATCTCAAAGTAATCAATAATCTTACAAAAAGTCTAATGATTATCAAGAATCTCACAATACAATGTTTACCAATAAGGAATTTTAAAATCTAAGAGTCTCCCCTAACAGAGTCCAACAATACGGAGTCTAACCTCAAAAACGAGGTTTTTCAAACTATTTATAAAAAATAAAAAACCTAATTAAACAAGGACTCTATTTGCTGGAAATCTACCAAAACGCGGCTAGGTCAACGGACCTCGCGACGGATCGTCATGGTCATGACGGACCGTCATGGACTCCGTCATCCCATACTTGTGCAATTTCTTCTACTGCTCTTCTTCATTACCCTCGACGGCATGTATGACGGACCGTCATAGGCACAATGGTCCATCGAGGGCCTTCGTTTTAGAACACTTCAACTCTTGGAATCTGGGTACTAGATCACATCTCTGAACTTCATGACGAACCTGCAGGATGGACCGTCATAGCCACGACGGATCGTCACAAGCTTCGTAACCCCAAATTTTGTCAGACTTTCCCATCTTCCTTCAGCAGCTTTACTATGCTGCCACCCGTCACAAACACGACGGACCGTCATAAGCTCCGTAGGTGGTCTCTTCTGCATTTCTTCGCTCAAAATATCCGCATTCAACTTTGGATAGATTTCCTGCAAAACAAAGAGAAATTTATATAAAAACTAGCACAAAAAGACTTTCGGACACACTAAACTTAAGGAAAAAGTATTAATTATACCATGAAACCACGGTATATCAATGGTGGGTCAGGGCGGAATCCTCCATTGAGGGGAGGATCTATGAGCTCCAAGTCGTCAATGAAATCTAAAAATCCGAGCATATCCCTTGTAAGCCTGTTGATGTTTCTTCTTTCTGTACAATACCATGTAATATTATGATATTCACACACCACCCAATATCCTTAACATAATCTGCTAGTTGCTTCAATTTTCCACCATAGCCTCTCTATTTTGCAATTTGGTTCATATAAAGTTGTACCAGCAACAATTTAGTTGGACTGAAGCTAATCGAACAGTAATAGTATAGACCCCTCTTTATTACTTTCCTCTTCACATACCTTGAGAAAGGTGATGAAAGTGTAGCATATTTTTTTTGAAGTGTGTGGTCTCCTCAACAATTTGGACAAAGGTACTAGAGTTGCAAGGGACTATCTCATTGCATAAAGGCAATAGTGCAGCTGCAGAAGTATACATAATGTGTCTAGCCTGTGCTCCATATCATATTTGGAAGGAAAAGGAATGTCGGGATCTTTCAACAGAAGCAGAGTAGTATTGAAGAAGTGATCAAGCAGATTGTATACAAAGTGCATGTTAAGGGTGTAACACGACTGAGAGTGAAACAAAATTTAGATGGTTTGATTTTTTACCCTTAGCTGATGTAGCACGGTAATCAGTTAGTAAGGACTAGAACTTGTTGTTTAGTCACAATTTTGATCTGTTTTGTGTTTTTATCCTTCTTTGAGCTGTTCAACTGTTACTTCGTGAATAAAATTGTTCAGTTATTTTCCCAAAACAAAAAGATCAATTTCATTACTCACAACATAATGTTTATTTATATATATGTGATATTTATTTTTTTGAAACTGAAAAAAAAAATATCACATACATATAATTAAACATTATATTTTTTAATTGTATACTCATCGATATCCGGTACGAGAACAAAACACATGGACAAAGACTAGTTATCAATGGTTTGGACTTCCATGTTGGAGGTCTCAAATTCAAAACCCCTTGCTTGCGAAAGTAAAGGGTTTGCCTTCTGGGTCGAGCTCGTCACACTAGGCTTGCCTAGTGCGGTTACTTCTCCTGTGTGGTTTGCGAGCTATTGCATAGGAGCGAGAGTTTTACCCTGTGTTCACCCAAAGGGTAGCGGCTGCGGGTTTCCCTCATCATCAAAATAAAATAAAGGCATGAACATTAGAAGAAAAAGAAACTAGAACTATTACAAATGTGGCGGGCAAGGATATGGTGGTAGCTTATCTATAGGAATGCAATAGGCAAAATTAAAGTCTACATTTGGTTACTGCTTTGATTTCAGTTGTTTAGTAGTTTCATTTGCCAAAAGTGGCTATTAGACAACCATAATTAGAAGTAAATAAAAACTTTATTGTGATTAGCAACTCACCTTAGCATATGATGCAACCAAAACACTGCCACTACCATGCCACTACAGCATGAAGACCATAGCCACCTCCTGTGATGTTTTGATTCATGCAGTAAGCCCTTTATGGTCATTAAACATGTCAAAATAGCTGCCTAATTTGAGAATTTTCCAGTGAGTGCTAATAATTAGGCTGTGAAATATTTCTTTTTGTGACAGGGGAACCTGCAAATGCTACCCTCAGGTGTGTACAGTAGGCCGTGAAATATTAAAAACTGCTTTCTCATTTACTAATGATAGAATATGATTTCCAGCAAATTTAAGACTGAAAATAATGGTCCTGTATGATCATTTTTCCCAAATAATCATCTTCAGGATATGCTCTTTATGAACTGGGAACAATTGTCTTTCAATATAAGAAATAATCAAATGCTAGCCTGCTTAAAACTTTTTCTCCCCCAACCAAGAAATAATTTTAACATTTACCAGTACCTTATCTGCGGTCACCAAGCAGTCAATTCCCTTGTACATTGATTTTGTTTTTTGGTTTTATTTTCCATGTATCTACTTTTTAGAGGGTAAAACATGTTCAACAGAAGTATCTAGTAATGTCAGAAATAATTTAAAGCTTGTGTCCCTCCATACGAAGGAGGGGGTTATAACCATGCAAGAGATTACTTTTTAAGCAAGCTTATAACAATACCCTTTTTCCAGATTCTAGCAAAAGATTCTAGAATTTAGGCTACAAACTTCTAATTTCACAAGATGTCTTTTGGAGTTGATATTATGATCACTTCAGAACCATTAATGGGAAGTTAAGAAGTATTTAGCATGGGCTTCATCGATTGAGTTGTGATACTTGTCAAGAAGCCCAAGATCACTTAACAAACAATGCTAGTGTGGTAGATGAAAAAATAAAGGCTAGTGCGGAAGATGGAAAGGCCAAAGCATAATGGGAGAAGGTTGATGCTTAATTATGTAGTCTCCTACGATGAATGATTGATTCCAAGTTGATGTCCTTGTTTCACCCATTCCAAACCTGTGATTTAATTTGGAAAAGGTTTGTGTTTTATACAGTAATGAAATATCTCATTTTTATGAGTGATATCTCAGATAATCAACTTGAAGAAATAATAATCCAATAAGTCTACTTACTTGGTCCAGGTGCAGGCAGTCACAGGGATTTGAAAGGTTGATGTTAGTCACTATGACCGTGAAAAAAAAAAGAGCACAGAGAGACGTTGTTTTTAGTTCTACCATCCCATCAAAAAGTGGTTTCATCATCCATCACTAACTCCTTTTTTCTCAGATCTCAAACCATAGAAAACCGAACATCTCAAATTATGGAGATTCAATGAGGAGGAGGTCGTTTTGGAAGCTCGACCTAACTGTAGTTATTGTCATAGGCTTGGACACACTTGTGACATATGTTGTACTCTTCATGATCGACCCCCTGATAATGCTCATATTGCTAAAATGAAATATGATGAGTTCCTTTAGTATCGAGAAAGTAAGCGAACATATCCACAAGTAGCCTCGGTTGCTTAGCCTTCTTGACCACCTTATAATGTTCATATTCTTCAAAGCCTCAAAAATAATATAATGAGTTCCTTTACTATTGAGCAAGTAAGCTAACATCTCCACAAGAATCCTCGTTTGCTTGCTTATGTTTCACAGTCTAGTAATTATGGATCATGGGTCGTGTATTCGGGTGCTTTTGATCATATTTTTGGTAACAAATCACTTTTGTATTTTGTCCAATACAGTTACTTTAGCCAATGGGATCCAGACAAAACCAAAAGGAGTTGACAAGCTAAACCCTTGTCCTCTGTCACTTTAAACTATGTTCTTTATGTCCGTGATTGTCCTTTTAATTTTGCATCTGATAGTCAATGGCGCATGCCTACATTGTGCCATAACATTATTTGATGGTTATTTTCCCAGGTATGACAGCAATACGAGACAGAAAATTAGCGGAGTGCATGAATCACAAGGCATTTACGATCTTACCTCTCAAATTCCTCCACAACATGCTCCATTACAAATCCTTCAAACCTTATTCACAAGGCATAATTTTCCTTGCTAATAAGCCTCTTTTGAAGAGGCAACACTAAGCAATTGATATTTCACTTTATCATTAAAAAGAAAAATCAATTCCATTATTCATATATTTTGATTTGGCTTATAAGTATTGGATTAAACAAACATAGTTATATTTGTTTTCTCCCTTTGCGCCTTTTTTCATTAAGGCCCACCCTTTCATTGTTCTTTGCGCTTAAAGCTTCAAGAAGCCTTGAGCTTTTTTTTGCCCTTTTTGCTTTTGATAACACTAGGCTATGATCAGAAACAGGCGCTATGTTTAAAGTGATCTTTTAGGCAATGAATAAGCTGCAATGCCAAAGAAAAGAGGGAAATCGACAAACCTGCAGCAATGATGGTCCAAGAGTCAACTTCATACATGAAGTAAGCATGATAATTAACAATTCTTAAATTAGCAAGCATTAATGAGGGAAATATTGTATGTAGTAAATAATCCACAGGACTTTGTAGTCTTTAGAATTGACAATCACCTCTTCACTTGAAAGTAAGTGTTGCCATAAAATTAGCCCGAGGCTTTCATTTAGGGAAACAGTGAACATCTTATACATTTCACATTCCTTTTAATGAAAAGTATCAAATTTACCCCTCTACTTTCAAATGTTATCTACATAACCCCTTTTATACTTTTTGAACAAATATACGCCTAATTTTACTATATTTATCACATATGCCCCTATATTTAATGGAGGTCTATCGTTACAAGGACCCAGATACTGAATCTTATGTGGCCTAGCATTTGGCTGAGGTTGACGCCTGGTGTGCCACATCACTAACCTAACCCTATTTTAGCCCCTCCCAAAAAAATTTCGCATACATAATTTGATTCCACCATACACCCTATCAAATTACCCTCTCCCGCAACACTACTCCTCCAAAAGAATCTATCACACCTGAATTCCGTTTCCCAACAACACCTGCAGTTTCATCATCTTTCCCAAGTCGAGAACAACCCAGCCACCTATCTTAAGCCAAAAATAATGGAAGGAGAAAAATCAACAACATAAACCAATGTAATCCCACAGGTGGGGTCGATTCTAGGGAGGGTAAAGCATATGTAAACCTTACTGCTACCTCTTGAGGTAGAGTGGAAGAGGAAAACCATTTAAAATTTCAAAAAATTAATATAACATTATAAATTTAGTAAACCCTTCTTACTTCCAAAAAAGAAGAGAAACCCTCAACCAAACACAATCTATGACTACTCAACAGAAAACACTAAAAAATTGAAAAAGAGGAGGGGAGATGAACGACTGCAAGTAAATCAAGAAACCCCAAAAGGCCAAAATGGAAATTTATTGAATCGGCCACCAGCTGCCGTAACAAGAACAATGCTTGGTCTTCAAATCAACCATGGCCAAAACTAAGAATTTGCTAAATTTTCCTTTTTTTCTTATAAATGAAACATGTGATGAGGTAGTTGCTAGAAGTGAGGAAAACTCTATAAGTCTATAATTTATGAAACTTTAGCTCTATGGACTTCCTTGTTAAGGTCACTATGTTCCAAGAACTTACTCTCAATCTAGAAGCTCCCTAAAGCCGCTTACCACCCCTAACCCTCGCCTCCATCCCCAACAGAGAACATGAACCTAGTCTACCATCATATCCTAAAGCAAATAAAAACTAGTCAAGGGTTTACACTAAACACACAAGAACCAATAGTAAAGAACAAGCAAGAAGCCAAGAACCTAAAGGAAAAGATCAATAAGGAAGGAATTCAAAGGGCAAGCAAGTAAGAATCTAAAGGAGCAAACAAACTGAAACAAATTCTAACAAAATAATCAAAAAGGACAATTAATTCTCTACACCTAAGACACAACTGAAACAAATTCCAATCTATGAACAAGAGAAAACGAAATTAGGCAAAGCAAAAGCAAAATAATCAAAACAAGTAACATCGCATAAGCCAAACGGGGGGAGAGAAGAAAGATTAAGGGATAGGAATCACCGGGATTGGGTATTGGTCGGTATTGTTGGTCGATTTGGTGGATTCCACCAAAATCTATTGCTGAAGTTAGTCGCCAGAAATCGGATCTTACCCACATTGAGAAGGAGGGAAGGGGTCGGTGGAGAAGAGAAAAGTATGAAGAGATCATCTATTGTAACCAGTGAAAGAGGTGGACACTAATGGTGAGCAGATGATGCTTTAGCACAAAGAGAGAAAGAAAGAGATGCTAGAAGACCAATTCCTATAGTCTCCGGTGGTGTGAATGGTGGATGCTTTAGTGGAGATAGAGACTTGTATAAACTATTATTACAAAAATCCATCGTCTGTTTAAAGATTTTGCTTTTAGTTTCTTGTGCTTGTATTCTTGCTTTTAGACTACTTGTTCATCTATTTCTAAGATGGCTGCATTCAGATTACCCAAACTACTTGAAGGAATCTTAGTATATTATAAGCCAAGTTTGTAGTTTCAGCTCTCTGTTTCCAGTCCTAAGGTCCACCATTACATTTTCACTCGGGCTAGTGGGAAAGCTGAAAATGAAGAAAATTCAATAAGCTAACAAAATTACTATTAAGAGATAATGAGTTAAAACAAGACTTATTACTTTAGCCTTATGACCATAATCAATGATTCATTATGGAAAGTATAGTAATTGGATATAGTGAAACAGTAAAGAACCTTTTTTATATAGCCGTGGTGGAGGAACTAGCTTGTACGCACCTCGACTAATTCCATGAGATACTTGTCACCTCCCACTGGCAATAAGTACTTGGTAACTCTCTACAAGGATAGGGAATATAGAAGAAATCACCTAATATATTGTGTTTGTTGGGATTTGAACTTGAAACCTTATGTTCAGAGTATATAGATGACTTTGTGGCTATATAAATTGCTCGGACTCGGGTGCGGGTATCCGAGACGGATGCGATCCAAGAGTCAGATTTGGCAAAATCTAAATTTTAAGATTCGGGTGTGTGAATCCGAGTAAAGATACAGGTGCGGGGATATGGCTAAAAAATTTCAATATTAAAAAATATAATTATAAAGAAATTCTAATTATATATAATAAAATATCACAAAATATTTATGAAATACATAAAATAACTAATTGCATATTTTGGTATAATTGCATACAAAATCAAAGAAGTATAATTATGAAAGAAGAGAGAGAATATAATAAATATTAAAACTATAATTTATTTTATAATTAAAAGCACACACTTATCTAGAGAAACCCTTTATCTCTAGTTTTCTTTTTCAAGAAAAAAAGAGACTACTTTCTCAAGGAAGATGAAAGAGCTCTTATTTTATGTACTTTTTCAAGAAAAACTCCTCTTTCTTTCTCTGTATTTTTTTAAGTATTTCTTCTTTGTACTTTTTCAATCTTCATCCTCTTTAACTTTTTCAAGCTTCATCTTTAAAAGTACTCTGCCTCCCACCGGAAGATGCCGACGGGAACTAATTTCTTTTTCCCCAAATCTTTTCTCGCCTCTGGTCAAAGTGTCTGGATCGGATTGACCGCATTCGATACTCACTCCGCACCCGCGCCTGCACCAGAGTCGCATCGATACGGGTTTGCTGACAACAATGAAGAGTCCACGCAACATAGGTGGCTATTGTAGACATTCTAGGGTCCCTGTAGAGATGAAGGAGGATCTAGGGATAGTTTTTTTTCTTCTTCTTTATTTTCTTTATTTTTTGTTTATGCAAGACACACAAGTGTAGAGGTAGGATATAATGTACATTTCTAGATACGAGCATTGTGCTGATGATTGATATGCATTATCTTTATTAAACAAAAAACCTCATGGTTCTCAACAGACTTCATTGAGCACTAGGAAAAGAGACTTATCAGGGGGGAAAAGATATAAATAGCTAAGCAATACAAAAGTTCAAAATAATAATATTTCTCCTCTCATCATTCTCTGAACTTGCATCAAAGCTAAATGATAACACTAAACCTCTTACAAGGAATGCTTTGCAAGAAAATCCCACTGGTAGAACAAAGATGAGCTCAAAGCTCTTCGGCTTCCCCCAATGAACTATATTGCAAATCATTTCAATAGAAGAGTCTCAAAAGTCCTTAACATATTCATAAAGATGAATGGTGTTACTCATTAGTGCCCATGGATTTGATCTATTAGTAAGAGTACAACATGTGATGTCTGGGCTGGACACACATTACGAAGCTTGGTATATTAGTAAGGCATAGGAATGGGTCCATCATCAAGTTTTGAACAGTGTATGTAACACTGTCCCTTGAGAATTTCTTGGTTAGCAAAAATAAATAATGGAAAAACAACTAAACCAAAAACTCTCTATCAAAACAAAAACTCTGTAGACATTTCTTTTGTGTACATGGTATTTCCTCTCAGTTAGACTGGATATGAAGCCTCTTGATTAAAAAATAATTCCTACTGAAGCCTCAGTTTCCCTCAGGGATCATAATGTTCCTGTTCTGTAAGATTGATTTAGTTGCTCACATGAATCCATGCTCTACATGCTTGATTTCAAGGCACCAACTACGTGAATGAGCCAGATAATGATTGGTAAAGACCAAGGAACTATAATTATTCATTAGTCTGTCATACGACACTCGTACTTAAGCACTCTTCCTATTCAAATCATCTTCATTACTGAAAAAGGATCCTAGTTTGGTATGAAGGAAAATATTTTCCAGTAAATACATTCCGTACTAAATTATTTTCTCACAATTGGTTACGATACATTATTATGGCCAAATCAGCATTCTCATACCTCAGAATCCACCAAATATACTTATCAGCTGCCACATACTTTATACCCTACAAACATTGGAAATTTATCCAGAAAATGAGTTCCCAATCTAAATAAAAGAAAAATAATTTAGTAATGTAAAACATTTTCTGCAGAAACACGATGACTAGCTTGTCCGCCTTCCCAATTTTGCTTTCAATAAACTTCTTGGACAAGGGACCTGAAATATCCTGATGGATGTGCACTAAATGGATGGATAAATGTAAGGAACTGTGGTTGGTTTCCTAAAAATATAGTAAGTTATATGATTAAACCAACTTATTATTTCCTTCCTAACTGCTTTGGTGGGACTTGCATATGGTTTTGTTTGCTGCTTCTTCTCTTTTATTTTTGGGTGATATAGCCCGCTTGTGCACATATCAACTATTCCATCGGATACTTGCTATAAGTGGATTCATATGATTTTTTTTCTCTAAATACGTACATAGAATTATGCAAAAAAAAATAGCACAGCAAATAATACAAATTGACAACACTTAATCAATCTGCACTGCTTTGTCCATCAGTTAGGCATTTCAGTTACAGAGTTTAAATCCATGGTTTGAGCCCATACACCAAACCTCTTTTTCAATTCTTTTGAGTTTGTTAAAATTTTTTTGAAACCGTGACCTCCATTAAACCTCAGACCAACCAGACCGTCAAGTCAAAACTCCTACTGATTACTTATATTCTCACTTAATAATGATAAGGGTACAAATGAATACATTTCACAAAATCAAAACATCTTGCCGTGAGTTGTGATAATACACTTGAATAATTTTATATTAGTATGATCTAAAATGTGCTTAATTTATGACATCAGTAAAATGATTTATTTATTTGTCCATTAGTCTTGCCTAGGCCACTGCTTGTTACCTTCCCGCTTGTCCCACTAACTCTTGGTTTTTGTTTGCTTCTTGCATACTATTGACAAGTTACAAGGTGAGATACATCTGTATAAGGAGCAAAAGAATACCAATTCCCAGGGATAATAGGCCTGTTGATAGACTGAGTATACGAGAAAAGCCACATAACACGAGAGTAACCCTGAGAACACACCCTGCATGAAATCAAAACACGTTAATAAGACAAGCTAAAAAGCAAATAATTACAAATTTGTAAAATTTTAGTGGTACCCTCCAGAGAAGAGATTGTTGGGTTTGAACATTCTCAAGAGATCGAACCAATTCTTCTTGTTCTGAAAATCAAACATGAATAGATAAAAAAAAACCTAATCTATTAGAGATTGAGAATTTTTACTAACAATGATTAAAGAATCCATGGATGACCTCGGGAATCAATAGGACAATTTTCGTCGTGAGTTGGCAAAGAGAATTTATCGTCCTCGTCGAAATGTGATTCTCCTGAAGATTTTCTCCATTTTCTGGTAAGTTTCTGCATTATCCTCCTCTTAATGTCTTTGACTTTTTAGGACTTTGAGCAAAGCTTTTCCTGCGGGGCGACGCCGTTAAACCAGTGGTGTATCATATGATTTACACGCTACCCGTTCAAACTAAGGTTTTATAACAAATAAATATAAAAGTATTCAAATTAAGGTTGTAAAAGGATTTCATAATCTAGCATGACATTTCTATACTTAAAAGGTTTTACAACAATAAGTAGGTGTTTCACCATGCAATAGCGTATCACGATTTGCTATTATGAGATGGAATCAGCGTTTGGATATGCGATTTCATGTTGATTACATCTCATGATTCCGTATCATGAGATGTGATTCCATATTCTTCAAAAACATGATATGGAATTATGTGGTGATTCTATATCATGATTTGAGATATTTTAGTACAAAAATTAATCCACAAGTTTATATTTTGTTAAAACAACCCCATATTTATATCTACTAACCATTTCTTTCATATGTAACTAAAATTATAACCACGTCATTACTTTTTAAATATTATTATTCTTACCGACATAAAATTTATTATTCTCACAAATATATAGTCACTTTAACTCACACCAATCGATTGCTAATGTGATAAAATAATTATGGTCTATAAATATAAAAATATAGTTGTGGATGATATTGACCAACAAATGGATCAAAGTAACAATTGTTGGTTCGTCTTCTCAGTCATATGATCAAGAAATGCAAGTTCAACTTAAGAAAATTGTTCGTACTATGTGAGAAGATTATATTAAAAATAAGTACACTACAATTTATGTTTAATTTTTTTATTAAATTAAAGTTAGATGAAACAATTACTTAAGTGTAGAAAAATACCTTTATAATAATTTATCATGCGATTTTACAATTTTTTATTTGATAAGATGGAATAAACAATTATGGCTATTTTAATAATTTTACAACTTATGGAGATTATGAGAAAATATACAACACAAAAATTTCATATAGCATGTCCAAACAAAACTTCAATTTCATATTATGATTCCATATCATGATACCATATCATGATTCCTTATCATGACACTATATCGCATGGTCAAACGGATCGTAAATGTTCCTTCATACTTATCCAAGAGGTCTCAATTTCGAGCTCTTTTAAGTATGAAACCCCTTTTGCTAGTGAGCGTTTTACCCTCCAATGTGAGACTTCTCGACGGAAATTTGGGCTCCAATAAGGGTATCAAGACTCTGGGTGGAAAACAAAAAAATCTAATCGATACATGTGAGACCATAGAATATTATTATTTTGTAGAGGTATTATCTAATCGATACATTAATATTTATTAATTTAAAGAGTATATTGAGATGTAATAAAGATTACTTTTATTTTTATGACCAAGAAAGCATGGTCATTATATAAAATCAAAATCAAGTTTAAATAATTTACCAAGCACTTAGCTGCACCAAAAGAAAATAAAAAAATATTAAACTATTTTTATACTAGAGATGTGTGTGTGTAAATATATATATACATGCTCTTGTTTTAGACTACTTGTGTAATGTTTAATGGACTTTTGTTAAGAGGCAATATTTTACTTATGAATTGTTCTTAAATTCATACATTAACATTAGCATATTAGTCGGATTATAATATTTTATATTAATAATAAATAGATTCAATAACTCATATATTAGAAACAAAAAATTATATCTAAATAATAAAATTTGTAAGCAAATTTATTTAAATAAATTTATTAGTAATAAATATAAAATATAAAATATAAAATCAAAAAAATAAACAAAATGATTAAAAGGATTTGAGGGGTGTTTTTTTCTTTACCTAGATTAGTCTCATGGTATTAGAGCTAATACCACCAAATGGAAGGTACTAGTTATATACCCTCTAATACCATGTAGGGTGCATAGATAATCCCTGGATTCATAATACATAGATCCAAAATTTCTACAAAACATAGTATTAAATAATACCACACATAATACTTGGACTATTTCTCCTAATACTCCCTACCAAACGATCCCTAAATGTGATACAAATGATTCGAGGGATGTTGCCAAACATTGTTTAGAAATAGTAGTGCTGATTAACAAAACCTTTGTAGAAACATGAAGTTACCTAAGTTTTCAATGAAGCAGTGAAGAAAAATAGAAGAACAAGAATTAATTCATAAAAAACTAAAATCGTTAAAACATACCAGAATCTAGAAAAAAAAAGCATAACGAAAAAGATCAAGCCCACTGAATGCATAGTTTTCCCTTAAGGAAACTATTCCCCTTTACTATCTAAGGTTTGATTTGGAATATGTCTCTTAGGATAGAATGATATCAATAACCAGTGTGTTGATACCCAAAATGTTGTTGTCAGTGAGCCACTCAACGACAGTAAAATACACGAAGAAACTTTATGTAGAAGAAGAACAAATCAGAAATTTTCATTAGTAAAAAGTCTGAAGAATAACAGGTATTTATAGCCAAGAGGAACTGGTTCCTAAAGGTGATACGCTCAAACTTAATTTTCAAATAAGAAGTAAAGCGGTCGTGTCAAGTAAATAACCCAACTAGTGAGGTTGGGATCGTTCCCACGAGGAAAATAGTTTAGACTTAACTTCAATCTATTATTACTATTGTTAAGTCAATTACTTCCTTGGAAAGTAAAAACAATAAAATGGGGTTTCTATTTCTAAATGAATGAAAATAACTAACAAAATTGAAAGAGACACTTAACAGCTTTGAATGTTGGAGTTTAATCAATTAATCAAAGTAACTAGGGTTTACGTGTTCCCTACGGGTTCATAACTTGATAATTCTAACTATAACAATTCTTTCCTAGTATCTTGCATGCAAAGTGATAAGATATGTATTTCTAAACCGGCTATGTGCGTTGCTATCCTAACACTTATCTTTACCTCAAATTAAGAATCATATTCGATATTTGACTAAGTTATTACCTCGTACCAATCAATACTAGCCTATTAGATAGTATACACTAAATCTATGTTGATAATTCTTTTCCTATTATCTACCTCCTTGGTCCGGCAAGTAGCATTATGTCAAGTCCTAACGTTGGCCATCCATTAAAAAGACTTCTAAGCGAAAGAATCATTAATACATGCAAGACACTATTCTAGAAATGTTTATGGAGTTTAGTTACCCATAGTAATAATCACAATATTCAAATATATAATATAAGAATTCATGTACTTACTTCAATGAGAAAGAGTAAAATCCGAAAGTTTGCTTGATTAATCAACAAAAATCACCAACAATCACTTGCAAGAATCTCAAAGTAATCAAGAATCTCACAAAAAGTCTAATGATAATCAAAAGCCTAACCAAATAATCCAAAGTCTAACTAATATTACCATGTCTAACCTCAATAATGAGGTTTTTTGAACTATTTATAGAAAATAAAAAACCTAATTAAACAAGGACTCTATTTGCTGGAAATGTGTCAAAACGCAGCTGGATCGACGGACCTCGCGACGGTTCGTCGTGGTCACGACAGACCGTCATGGACTCCGTCATCCGATACTTGTGCAATTTCTTTTGCTGCTCTCTTCATTACCCTCAACGGCAAGTATGACGGATCATCACAGACACGACGGTCCGTCAAGGGTCTTCGTTCCAAAACACTTCTTTGAACTTCATGACGAACCTGTAGGACGAACCGTCATAGACACAACGGACCGTAATGGACTCCGTAACCCCACACTTGGTCAAGCTCCACTACGCTGCCACCTATGGACCGTCACAAGCTCCTTATGTGGTCTATTCTGCATTTCTTTGCTCAAAAACCTCCGCATTCATCTTTGGACAGATTTCCTGGAAATAAGGAGAAACTTATATAAGAATTAGCACAAAAAGGCTTTTGGACACACTATACCGTGAAACCACGGTATATCAACACCCTCAACTTAAATTCGTTGTTTGTCCTCAAGCGACGCACTATGACTCAATACACAATCTTTGTACAATAGTATCCATGTTTTATCCTTTGCAATCATTTGGCTATCAATCGCGATTAATCTCATCATATTTATGCATGCTATCTCTATTAAGCTTGAATTATGTGGGATCAGAGCATGACACAGACTCACCATGTACTAACACCTATCCTCTTCAATTTATCACCGAGATGCTAATATTTCTGGTATTGCAACTAGTGTCCTCACTTTAAAATAAAATCCTCATTTTTCACACAATGATTTTAGTTTGAGTATAAGGATTACTTTTCAACACTCGCTCTTAGGACAAATTCACGCTCATTCATACATATTGCCATAAGCTTGCCCTTATTTTCACTGCCTTAAGTTCACTATACAACCGTTAGGATCACGATAGAACTTTCTTAGCTTGTAACATAGGGTCAGGTAGGGTATATTTTAGGTATACTTTAGTGACTTTTTGCCCTCCTTGACATATCGGCTAAACATACCATTTTCTATCATTTTATCTCGCCCAGTTCTCATATTCTTTCACCTTGCTATTTTCTCTTCTTTCTTCATTTGTGTAAGTGACTCTCATTTTTTCTTGTATATTTTTATTTTTCTTTACTTTTATTTCAACTAATAATTCTTGAGTCACTTTACTTTTGTTCATTCTCTCTCTTTGTTCTTTCAACCCCACTTTCCAGAGCATTCCTCATATTAGACACCCTCAACTCATGGCTTTGACATGAGTCAAGGTACACAATACCCAAAGTTGAGTCAGGGCCACAACGAAGGTTTTTTACTTCATTAGCCACCCTCAACTTATGCTTTTGGCATAAGCTGAGGTGCACATGTCCAAGGAGGGAAAGGTCTAATTTAAGCTCAGATCATTTGGATCAAAGAAGGATAAATTTCATTTGGTTTTCTTTTATCTAGGCTAAAAATGGGCTATATTGAATAAGGGCCTATGATCCTTTCCTAATTGTCTATTACAGCTTACTTTTAGCAGGACTTACCAGGCAAGTTCTAGCTTAGTACAAATAGCGGACTATCCAAATCTTCTTCACACTCACTTGACATCTCAT